CCTCATCGAAAGCAATATTGTTAACTTATACCTTATCTAACAATTCTATATTCAATTCACATTTAAAATCATACATTCAAACATTTACATTTCTATCATATATCACATGAAAACATTCTTTAATAATGATACTATACAGTTACTCTACCAATACAATTTATATAAACATACATATTATATATCTTAACAACATATATTATTAGTATACATTACCAATAGTCATCTTCTTGCATTTGTTTATTCTTCTGTCTCCTGTTCCTCATCCTTTCCTGGAATTCTAGAGAGCGCATCCGCCACAATGTTTTCTTTTCCCTTAATATGTTTTACATCAAACTGATAATCTTGCAGCATTAGGCTCCACCTTATCAGTTTGCTATTGGTGTTTTTTACTTGATTCAACCACCTCAGTGGAGAATGGTCTGTATATATTATGAACTCTCTTCCCCAAAGATAAGGTCTTAATTTGTCAATAGCCCAAATGATGGCTAGACACTCCCTCTCAATCACTGCTAGATGTTGCTCTCGCTCCAATAACTTTCTACTTAGATATAATATAGGCCTTAGGTCTCCATTTATATCTACTTGACTCAACACCGCTCCCAGTCCTATCCTTGATGCATCTGTGGTGAGTATGAACTGTTTATCAAACTCAGGTACCTTTAATATGGGTTCATTTACCAATGCATTCTTTAATTCATCATAGGCTTTTTGACACTCTTCATTCCATTTAATTATATTAGGTTTGTCTTTTTGTAGACACTCAAATAAAGGAGAAGCGATAGCACTAAAATTAGGAATAAACTTCCTATAAAAGCCTACCACTCCTACAAATGCTCTAATTTCTTTTTTAGTTCTAGGCCTTGCCCAATTCCTAATAGTTTCTACTTTGTTCCACTCAGGTATTATTTCTCCACTACCAACTACGTGTCCTAAATATTTAACCTTTGTTTTTGCTAATTGGCATTTTGCAGCTTTTACTGTTAACCCAGTTTCTTTAATTCTTTGTAACACTTTAGAAATATGTCCTAAGTGCATTTCCCAATCGGTACTGTAAATTGCAATGTCATCAATATAAGCCTGAGCAAACTCTCTTAAACCTACCAACATTTTGTCAATTAATCTTTGGAAACTCGCTGCGCTATTTTTCAATCCAAAAGGTAAACGTGTGAACTCATGTAACCCCTCTTTTGTCACGAAAGCTGTTTTACACTGATCCTTAGGATCCATCCCCACTTGCCAATATCCTTTGGTTAAATCTAAAGTTGTTATAAATTCCGCTGTCCCAATGGTCTCCAATAATTCATCAATTCTGGGCATCGGGTATACGTCAGACACAGTTACCGCATTTACTTTCCGATAGTCCACACAAAATCTCATGGTGCCATCCTGTTTCGGTACCAATACTACAGGGGATGACCATGGACTTTCTGATGATACTATCAATCCCAACTCTAACATTTCTCTAATTTCTTTTGAGATAATTCGAGCTTGTTCTCCTGTTGCTCTATACGGGTGCGAAGTTATGGGTTTTGCATCACCCGTATTGATCTTATGAGTTATCAGCTCCGTTTTTCCTGGCACATCCCTAAATACATCCTGATGCTTTATCAATACATCTCTCAGTTGACATCTTTGACTTTCTGACAATTCTAAACACTTAGACACATCAGGTATGATACTTTGTTCCCTTAATTCTCCCCATTCTGTTACTGAATATGCTTTTGCTTCTTTTGTTACTACCCTAAAAATCAAATCTGTTCTCACATAATAGGGTTTTATCCTATTAACATGCACACGCTTATATTTCCCTTCCTCCCCTACTTTCATTATCAGATAGTTCACATCAGACAGTTTCTCAAATATTACATAGGGACCTTCCCATGCCATGTCCATTTTCTTATGGGATTTAGGCTTGAGTAACAGCACTCTGTCTCCTTCTTTAAAATTCCGATGTTTGGCCTTCGCATCTCGACTTTCTTTCTGTTTTTGTTGAGCTGACTCCAGATTTCTCGATGCCTCACCACGTACAATGTCTATATGTTCCTTTAGTTTCTCTATATAGTCCATAATATCTTCCTCCTGGATCTCCTCATCACCAGTCCAACTTGCACTTATGATGTCCATGGGTCCTCGCACTTTTCTTCCAAACAGAAGTTCAAAAGGGCTATATCCCGTGCTCTCCTGTGGGACTTCTCGATATGCAAATAAAAGATGTTGTAACTGTCTATCCCAGTCATTAGGGTTTTTGTTGACATATGTCTTGATCATATGTTTTACTGTCTTATTAAAGTTTTCAATTAATCCATTGCTCTGCGGATGATATGCCGTTGTGTTGTGATGTACAATGCCACAGCCTTTAAATAATTCTTTGATCAGCTTGGACATAAAATAAGTTCCTAGATCTGTCACAATTTCCTTGGGAAATCCCACTCTGGCAAAAATATTAAGTAGTCCATCAGCTACCGTTTTAGCTTGTAAGTCTCTTAAAGGTATTGCCTCTGGATACCTCGTAGCATAGTCAATGGCTGTTAAGATGTATTTATTTCCTTCTTTAGTGGCTTTGGATATGGGACCTATGATGTCAATTCCCATCTTCTCAAAGGGCGTTGTTACCACAGGCACCGATTGTATAAGTCCTTTAGTTTTATCGTTGGCTTTCCCAATTAGCTGGCACACTTGACAGGACTGACAATATGCTTTGACCTCCTTTCCAATATTAGGCCAATAAAATTTTTCTTGAATTCTTGCCTTCGTCTTTTTAATTCCCAGATGTCCTCCGAATGTTGTGTCATGGGCCATCTTTAATATTCTTAATCTGTACTTCTCCGGTACTACTAGCTGTTTGTTCATTTCAACCCTATCACCACTCTTCCTCCTTCTGACAACTCTATACAATCTTTCATTTATAACTTGGAAAGAACTAGACTTTTCAGCTAATGGTCCACCAGCCTCACTTCTGGCCTGTTCCCATGACTCTCCTAAAGATTTATCTTTCTTCTGTTCCTTTAAGAACACTTCAGTCTGCTTATCTGAGAATTTCATTTGCATAAGTTCACCACTCTCTTCGTTGTCTCGTGAAGTACTTGCTTCATCCGAATCACCGTCCATCTCCTCTGTTTCTGATTTTCTAGTAATTACATGGACTCTTTGGCATTCTCCATATAGGTCATTTCCTATAATGAATGGAACTTCCAATTCCTTCATCACTCCAACTTGCCACATTCCTTTGTATTTTTTATAAGTTACAGGGATTTCTGCCACAGAGGTCTCGAATGCTGGCCCATAGATTCCTTTTAATAGATATCTCTTACCCTGCACTATCTGCTCCGGGTTTATTAGTTGACTCTGGATTAGGGACACTTGAGCTCCTGAGTCTCTTAATCCCAATATTTTTCTTCCAATTATTATTATCTCCTCTCTATAGTCATACTCTTCAACCTCTCTCACTTTCCACACTCGGAATACTTTACTGGTCTCATCTGTGGATTTCATCTCACTCTTAACCTCCTCTGTATAGTGTCCAGTCCCTTTATCTTTTTGTACCAGACGAATGTTTCTTGGAGGTGAAGTAACACTCTTTTCATTCCTCAACCTAGGGCACCTTGCTCTTATATGCCCTGGCTCTCGGCAATGATAGCATGTGATCTTCACATCATCCGGTCTTATTACTTCCTTATTATAGTAATTACTCCTTCTCCCATATTGTTGGTCTGCCTTGTCCCTCCCTTCTTGGTCTTTATTTTTCCATAATGGCTGTGAGGGACTTGTAGCATTTTTGTATATATATTTGTTTCCTTTTTCCTCATACGATCTCTTATACGCCATGCCCAAGTTTTTCATTTCGTAATCAGTTTCCAGTTCATCAAGGACAACAGCCACTTGAGACACACTCTCAATTTTTTTATCTTTGACATACCAGCGCATGTTTAGGGGCACCATTTTATAAAACTGTTCCAACGCCACCAGATGTTTTAGCTGTTGGAATGTGCTAACCCGACTTCCTTCTATCCACTGATCAAGGGCTTTGTCTAATCGGGCTCCCAGCTGGACATATGTTTCACCATTTCTCCTTTTTATTTCTCTAAAGTTCTTCCTGCACTGTTCAGGAGTGATCCCATATCTAACTTTAACTCTTGCCTTAAACATTCTATAATCATTTATCTCCTCATCCCTCATATCAGCCAATATCTGATTTAGCTCGCCAGATATTAAAGGCTTTAGATATGACATTTTACTTTCTTCTGGGATCTCTAGTTCCAAAGAGGTTCGTTCAAATGCGAGAAGAAATGCTTCTACGTCGTCTCCCTTTTGGTACTTAGCAAACCTCTTCACTTTGGCAGAGAAGTCATTGTAACTATGTACACTAGTATTTTCACTAGTTCTATCTCGTTCCTGCATTCTTAACTGCATTATCAATCTTTCATGTTCTCTGGCCTTCTCTCTTTCCTCCGCCGCTCTCTCTCTCTCTCTTTCTTCAGCCTCCAACTTAGCTAACTGTAACCTTTCCTGTGATTCCATTCTGCTTATTTCAAACTGAATTTGTAATCTTTGCAGTTCTACTGATGTAACTGTCTGCTCCTGACTTTCCTCACGTTCTTGTGCTCCCTCCTCTACCACTTCTCCTTCAGTTCCAGCTTTCTTGCCCTTGGGAGGAGCCATTTTCTCTTACTTCTATTCTTTATGAGGTAAATTTTGCCTCTTTCTGATACACTGGACCAGATATATTCTACTTATCCCGCAGCTTTCTGAGGCACTAGATTAGATGTATTCTACGCATCCCGTCGCTGCCACCAATTATGTAACACCAGGGAGGGAGGACACCAGTTTGTTAAAAGAAGCATGCACCTATGTGCAGTCTTCTGCCAAAGCTTTAATATCTGGATTGCTATGGGTGTTATAAAGCAGAAGCCTCTTGGCTTGGAAACACAGGCTTGAGTCTCTTTCGTGTGAAACAAAGTAACAAGTTTATTTAAACACTTCAGGTTCCAGACGCTTGTGGTTACAATTACTATTTTTGTTGCAAACTTGGGTTCCAGTCACATATATACTTGTTGCACTCTCCTGAAATAGGCTTCCAATGTTTCTCATTTATCAAGATGATATTTGCTTTACACGTGCAGGACTAAAAGTACTTTCCAATTCAAGCACTACTGGCTTTTCTTTAGGTTCTCAAACTTGTACTCTATTTGATTAGCAGCTTACTTTTCTAACAGGATTTATTAACTACCATTCATGAACAGGAATCCCTAACTCTCTGTCCTTTACCAACTGCAATCCCTACTCAACTCACTCTCTCTTAAAACTCTCTCTCTAACTCCCCTCCTTTTTGAACTTGACTCCGCCCCTTTAGAATGTTCGGCCCTGCTCTACCCAACTGTCATTTTGTCTTCCCACCTTTTGAAATCCTGGGGCTATGCTAATCTGCATATGACCAATCAGCCTCCATATGCAAATAAATCCAGTCCCTCTGTTGCTACCCTCTCTTGTCTATAATCTTCCCTATCTGCCCCCTGCGAACATAGATCTATGCACTAAAATTTCATATAGAGTAACAAATTCGCTACATACGCCCCTTCCCTATAAAAATATTGCTGGAGGTGAGTGTTTTTAACCTCA